ACCAATCTGGTATGAGTGGCTCTGGAGGTGCGAAATGCATCACAGAGCATAACTCAATGGATCTCTGACCCACGCAAGTCATCGCCCCAAGGCTAGGTCCAGCCTCATTGTGCAGCACAGTGTATGATAGATAAGCAAAAGCTTCTCATCTCTGCGGTCAGACAGCGCATCCAGTCAGAGTTTAACTGACAGAAAGATGTCAGATTCAAACCCGTAGAAACTACAATAATAATAATCATTATTATCAGTATAGTATTTTATAATCGTGTTAGAGACTGTGCCCACAAATGACCCAGATAACTTTACGAGAGCGTGAGCGTGCTGCTGCGTGACCGAGTGTTTTTGTCCATAACAGTACCGACGCTTCACTGCCACGCAATCACCATTAGTCGCGCGTCAGCTAAGGATACTGCGAGGGTCACTCTACACAGACAGGCTCGAACCGGTGACATACCAGTTACAAAGCAGACGGTTTAGTCTTTCGGTCACCGGTCGGTATAAATGCTTATGGTACAGTATGAAATCCAATGTACTGTGGTTTGTGGAATGCAGCGAGGTAAAAACCCGAGGTTGCGGATGCGGCCTCCACGTACAGCGTTTGAGCATTCAACGTATTTGGTATGACAGCGGACTCATGATTATTTGATGGCAAATCGTAGATCTGCAGTATGCGGATATGAGAGATTAAGTTTTGGCATGAGTACGTTACTTCCTGAACTGTGCTTACATCTCACTAAAAAAGAATTATCCGGTTAGCGGGCATTCGCTAGGAAGTCTTCTGATGTACTGAACTGCACATCATCTCAGTTGTAGTTCGACACACGTAGCACGAAAAAGCATAGAGAATAAAACGCGATGTCGTGAAAGTCACTAGAGCCTGGCAGTGTCCGGTTAACCGAGCACCTGCTTCAGCACGTCTTTATGCGCCCACAACGATACGTAACCAGCTTCGGCGAAGATGGTGACGGCAGTGGGCATCCTCCGTTTCTCTATTTGCACTATTCTTACGATTAGAGGGTAGCGTTGAATCGTTTGCTTCGGATACAAGTTCACAACCTCTTATAGTGTCGGCTCGTATTCAATCCGTTGGTTCGACCCAGAACCCAATCGCATAAGCACAGAATAACGTAGAGAACGATCCGCTCGGCTCTACAAGGCAGTCAACCACCGTCAAAGTGACAATAAGCGACGGATTCAATCAGCATGATGATGATGATCAAAAAAATTGAATGGGAGAAGGGAGAACAAGTGAGTAAACGTGTACGGACGTAAACAAACAGCAGTCGTCCGGTGGCCGAAAGGATTACGCGCCTGCCTTGTGATCCGGAGGTGACTGATTCGAATCCGCGTACGTGGGTGCGAACCGCTGCCTTCGCAGTCTAGCTCATATCTAGTGGGAGCACCGCGTGACCAATGAGCGTATTCGGCATCGCGTATTTGGTGCAGGAAGAGCGAGTGAACGGTTCAGCCAAGTGATGACTTGGTGGAGAGGAATGAAAACCCTCAATTCGAATTTGGCGTCGGTTGGTGCATCACAACTGCTTGGCTGGGGTCAAACGATGATGAACACGTCTGATTGGATGCACTTGTTAATAATATGGTGAAGAGCCGACTTCAATGGCATTTGTGATGTGAGTTTCATTGTCCACCCCCTCCTATCCTTTAGATTCACCCTACAATCCTCCCCTACGATCTCATACGAAATGCACAAGGTAATATTTAAAATTCCAAATGACATTATTTTACTTGCTTTTTGAATTCTTTGCAATGTAATTGTTTAGTATCTTATCTTTTTCGTATTGCGGCACATTAGCCAAAGTGTGTTTCTCACCCTGAGCTAACGTGTATTGTATTGTGTAGTGCACATGCGGGCGGGAGATCCACGCAGTATACCTAGTCCCGCGGCAGCGAAGCGTCGGTACAGGCGCATTGCTAATGCCTTTTCTTTCTTACTGATAAGCAATCCACTCTGTGTCAAAACCACTTACGCAATTCTATGGATTGCCGCCGCCTCCAATGGTCCTAACCGCTCATTGGCACGTGTCGGGTAGTGGATTCTATTAACACCCTCTGCAAATGGAGTGTGTACTGTCTGATGTGTGATGGTCATCTGACTGAGTCTGGTGGTAACAATGACTGCGAATTTTAGTTTGTAAAAGTAGCCAAAATAATTGTGTGGCTCTGTGAAGGATCGCGGCCCAAAAATCAGTTTGTTCAAAAAGAACTGATGCTAGTACAGGGATATAAAAAGACGGATGAGCTCATAAAAGCATCGACGATATCGGCAGACATGGGGTGAATGGTGCTATGTCCGAATTATAGAGTGCTCATTCTTGATGAGACCATCAATCGTCTTCATAAGAACAAAGGATCGACGCTTCTGCCGCGCCTAATTTAGTGCAGCTGACCGTCCGTGAGCCGAGTCGCGACGTCATTGTAATAATAATAGCAATAATAATAATTCGACACGAATGTGCAAGGATTTAAATTTTTTGAATATTTAACCCAAAACAAAAGATTGAGTTCAAGCGTGCCACCGGCTTCGTGACCAGGCTCTATTCGATGCGGTATCCAGTCACTAGTGTGAACGATTCCGAGACCACTCTCCACCAGAACAGCAATCTGGCTAAATTCCAAAGTCAGTTTCTTTATGCCTTTCCGGCAAATCATCAGTTGGACAACTCGCGGTTTCATCCAGCAAGGCGCGACTGCAAAAATCAAAGGTGCGAACAGAGTTATTCATTTAGCAAATATCTGACCACCACTCATTCTTGAACCCTCTGTTGGAGGGCTACGTGGTCTGTGATGTATCTGTAGCCATTCCTAGTGCACATACACCTGCGGCTCCCAAAGGTACTTTTTTCGCTAGGGCGTTGATATGGTCCGTTGTTGGCTCGTTAACGTCTGGTTTTCTCGGTACTTTTATACTACTGAGGCTTGGCACAGTAGTACCTACTTTTGACCCACCATACAATGATGGCTATGGATACCGATCGAGGGAAGTCAGTCAGCGTAAATGGCTCAAGTTCAAGTGATACCACAACGTGTCACCAAATGGTTTTATCAAAACAATGAACGGTGTAATTCAGTGCCAATCATTCAGTGATGCCACCAGATATAGTCAACACTCAGTGGGCACCAATGAACGAAGGCGGCTAGCCACTTAATATTCTCAGTGCGCACCGGTCCTGTACTAATACCGATTTTACGATAACGCAGTATACCTTTCCCCTTAGAGGCCGTCTCAATGTATGACAGGGACGTTGAGACACAGGCTCTATTGGTGCTTATCGTGGCCCCTCAGTAATGCGATCACAATACATGGTACAACCACCAAGACACGTAAACCGTTCGATCATTTGAACCGCTGTGATAACTGGGATCAGTTTCGCGTTGGCTCAGTCGCGAATTAAGGCGTGCAGCGCTATGCCCATCTATACAGGCTCGATTGTGCAGATGACTCCAACACAAACAGAATTTCATCAAGAACACCGGTCTGAGGCAAACAATTGTTTTCAATGATTCATCTAAGGGTTAAAGTACGAAGGGATGGATAGTAATTGGTTCGGTGGTTTGTTCTGAAATGACTCGGTCAACGGTTAGACATCGAATAGTTCACCGCTGTCTCATTCACACAGATCGATTAAAGGTTACGTAATCACAATGCCTAAGTCGATATCAGGGTGACAGTTAGGCTGATGGCTGTTCGGCCAGGGCAGGTATAGAGATTGAACAACCTTTTTCCGAGCACAGTGGGGGCTAAAATATGCGGATCACAACGGCCTATGCATTGGCGAGCACCCTTAACCGCGTACCTTTCGAGTTGCTCATTGGAACCTGATAACTCGTAGTAAAGACAGTTGGGAGGTTAATCTGGCGACCTGATTCGAACAGATGAGACAAAATACCGCTTGTAAGAACTCCGTTGCCCTCGTTCACCAACCATCTAGGGCTATGCTCCTTAATGCGACATGACAGTGGACGAGCAGTCCAACCATTGCGACCCGCATATTCCAGCCGCCACTGTGCTCGCAAAAAGTTTGTACAATCTCTATACCTGCCCTAGCCGTCACCCTGACAGCGGCTCAGACATTGTGATTTTGTAACGTTTAATCGATCTGTGTGAATGAGACAGCGGCGAACTATTCGCTGTCTAACCATTGACCGAGTCATTGCAGAACAAACCACCGAACCAATCACTATCCATCCCTTCGTAGCTTAAGCTTATATGATTGTACCGGTCCGTAGATGAATCATTGAAAACAATTGTTTGCCTCAGACTGTCCTTGAACAGAGTTGTCATCCACGTTCTGTAAAATTGTTAGTTGGTCCACCAGCAGAACTTCCACTTCGGAAGTAACTGAGAAAACAGAATAATTATTGATCAAATCGATTATAAAACTAAAGAGTAAATAGGGTATAGGTCGGCCCTGGTGCACCCCGGTTGCCGAAGAAGCTCAGGAGATAACTTCCCATAGATCATGACACGACCTCGGGGATTCAAACCAGTTCCTCTAGCACACCCTTCAGATATAAGTAGTACCACAGGCTGGCGCGATCAAAAAAGTTGGTGGTTTTTATCTAGTGGAAGATCACCGTATCATGTCTTCTGTACGCGTTTTGCCGTCCTAAGGACCGACAAAGTGTCAACATGTGACTGACTCGGTCAGAACGAAGACCGATAATTCGTCGGCAACTGTAAAGAGCCATTGAAAATGCGTCAGTGACTTTCGTATCAACTTCTGTGACCTTTCTTGAAAAGGTGATGAAGATTGACGACAACCTCCAGGTGCTCTGCCCAAGACAAGTTGGCGTGTCTTTATTCTGTCTCCTGCACAACCTGAGTGAGGTTATAGTGATCGCGATCCAGTGATGGGATTTTATTGCGAAAGCGGTTAAAATTAGTTACGTCACCAAGTGTTGCTGTTCGTGAAAGGAGCAATGATCAAGAGATCTAAAAAGATGGGATATTAAAAAACCGGTGTGTGTATAAGGCTCACCCAACAGAAAAGGTCGGTCCCAATAATTAACTTTGGTGCTCAAATTGGCACGTAACAAATGATCCGGAAGACGCAGATATGTGGTGTGAAAAGGAGCCAGAAGAATCTCCTCATTGCCCAACACAGTCGCAGCGCCACTTGGGGCGGTGGTGTTCCCGGAATTTCCTGGAGTAGGAGTGGACGATCCGCCGCCACCACCAGTGGAACCCGCCGTAGGGTTCGCTGTAGGAACAGGAGGCTGGATGAGAATCGGTTGGGACTGGATGGACAGATGTAGAGTGCATCGACGACAGGCGACCAAAACAGCGCGACGGCAAGCAGAGACGATGAGACAGTCTTCGCAATGATTCAATTGTAGGGTATTTTCGATTGGGCCAAGAACGATGGTCAGTTTGCGACATTTGTCTAGAGTAACCGATCTGAGGGGAAGAATAAGCGAAGCATGTGACTACAATGTATCGGATCATTTCTGCAACCGGGGTCGCGCATCAAAGTCTATGGTTGCGTAGCATCGGACGACCAATATAAAACATCAAAGTATTTTTATAGATTGATTATGATGGTAGAAGAGAGGGGGGTGTGGATAGTTGTGCAAATATATCGGTGCCGTATTTGTCTACAAAATTCAAGATGTTGACAGCAGACTTGGCGAAACAACAACAGTGTGGCTTGGCTCGTAGCTCTATTTCTTTAAGCACAACACTTCTACTTGCTCCGCAATACAGTATTCAGCTTACATATGCATCGATAAAGACAAATCCATAGAGAAATCATCCACCTTCAATTATCATCGCATGGTTCTGCTCCAGATGCTTCCTCATGCTACGTACGTACGTAAAATTTTTCACAATCAGAGGAACGCTTTCATATTTTAGTGGATTTGAATTAAGCTCTCAACTTCATGCGTTTGCCTTCTGTTCGGCTCCAGCTCCACTACCTCCCTACATAGTTATTGATAGAGTGAAACACCCAGAGGTCCTCTTGATGTCCGTAAGCAATTTCATTCATATCTCAATTCCGCTTCCAAGGATATGAAATAGCTTTATCATGACCTCAGCAATGATCTGTCAAAATGACGATATCGGACTCCTACATATCCATAATTGTCAGCGCTTTATTTTCCCGTACTACGTCGTACTGCAAAATCATCACACCTTGTGATACGTCCATTGACATTTTACGACGATCCCAATTCCACATAAATGTTGCGTGTTATCCGCCCTCCGCTCCCAAGAAAAAAGGCTGCATCCCACGACTAGTTCTGTACATTCCTGAACTCTTCAGGTAAATACAGTCGATTTTAGGTAGGATCTCAGAGGTAGAAACGACTGACGTCGAATTAAAAACGATTCGGCATCCAAATTAAGACTGCGTGTCGCAATCCTAACACTCGGTAGAGGTACTCAGAAGTTCAACAGTGAATTTTTTAATGGCTCTGCTCAACGTAGCTCATGGCCTATGGATCAGGGCGTCAGTTATCAACGGGTTATCACGGGTTTTACTTCTAGCTCCGGGTATCTGTCTGAAGGGTCCAAACAAAGACACGGTGCCAGCTGGGTGGTTTGGGTTAATCCCGTTCCAGCGAATAGTTCGGCGTCAGTGTTCCAGGACGTGGTGGGGTTTCCCCTGGCAAGCGTTCCCCATATAAAAAGCCACATATGTCCGTTTAACAACACTGCGACGTAGCGGATGTGACTCGCCACTAAATAAAGTCACTGCCTCTCCCCCATCTGGAGGATCCCCACTTCACAAGTGTCATCTAATTCGAAGAGTTCCATTGATCCCTTCATACGATGGTAAACACAGCAAACAAACTCATGAATTCAGTCACACTTCACTCACCATGCTCACTGACACATGGTTGGCGGCATCCGGTTTCGGATTTGCCTGTCACTGTGGCCAGGCATAGGACGCCTGCGCCTACAGAGGGACCATGGGTGGCTTGCGCTGCACCACCCACAGCTCCATCCACACACCCCATATCCAGTGTAAACCCGAAGGAATAAGACCGGGAGGCATGTGGATGGGAACCAGGTTTCATCAACGGAGCCGGCCCACACTCCTTCACAGGCAAACACAAGCACACTGTATTTGGGGAATCAAGCGCACACAAGGCGGTGGCTGGACCGTAGTCCGCTCCACACTGAGTGCATGGAACCACTCTACATATAGATACAAACACACAAATCCAATATGTAACTGGTTAACGTGCTATATTATTATACAATTACCGAATATACCTGTCTGTATTATCATGATCATGCCTTCGCAGGCGTGCCCCTCACTGTCGGGGATAAAACATTTATTTATTTATTTATATAGTGAGATACCGCTAGTTCACAACACGTCCAATGGAAATCCACTCACCCGGGTTCGCATGAAAGTATATGTGACCGTATATGTGAAGTCCCGTTTGTGCATAAATTTCCAAGCATACAGAACAGCTAATAACAGACCGCTTACCTCATCGGGGACAACAAATAAAGGTAACTACAATGCGCCCGATGAATCTTCAGGGTAGACCCGTCAAGTGTGGCGGAGCTCTATAGAAAGAAGAGCAAAAAAGATGATCATCTGAATAAGCGCTTAATAATCAGCATAAACATTCGGTGGATTCGCTTGCCGACAGATTAATGGAAAGTAATAACAGTGGGAAAATTGTATTAGACTACAGTAAATTACAAAGATCTGAAGGAAATTATATCACAATGGTATAAACGTTGGATGCAAATGTGCCCATTCATGCGCGCAGTCCATGGTTAAGTCAAGAAATACTATTAATTAAGAGGTATTAAAGGGATTGTGGTAATCTTTGAGAATGCTGGTCGCATTCAGATCTAATCAGATAGCCACCAGAAATACGGAAAAGCGATAGATGGCCGTCCGTTCTGTTGAGACTAATTAGCAACGCGACTACGCCGGACGCTGCTGAAACCGAACCCATGCACATCCATGAGTGACTGCGGTGCATCGCCATCACTGATTACTAACTGCGATACGACACAGCTCACTCTCCACGGTCATGGATGTTATCGACGAGCAGAGGACAGGGCTGATCTTAGGGCTACGATTGTAAGCCGTGGACAATCGAAGTGGTATGTAAAGTGCTAACACGATTGCTGATTATTAACGAGTAACGTGTGAATTTATTGTTTTTGAGAAGGTTGGTCGCGACTAGACTATGCTACCATACATCCAGGAAAACGGTGGACTTGATGTACGTGAAGTAAGTAAACCGCCAGCTGTACGCCGTAATGTCGCTTCGCTGCTACGCGGCCACCACCAGTCGCGCGTGGGCTGAGTACACCGCGAGGAGGCCTGCCCCTACGCGGATTCGAATCCGCGCCGCAAGGTTACGGCATATTGCAGCCGCGCCATATCCTTTTTGGGTGCGATGCGCTCCCTAAATCTATGATCCACAAAATGGGTGTCTGGATAATGCTTGAATTATGATGCCGGTTTTGTCTCGACTATTGTTTCGAGTAAACCGTCCCAATATTTCACCACTCGAAGCATAAGGGGTGAACCACATGTTTCGGATCCAGCACTTCGAGCTTGCGCCAGTGTCCGGAGTGCTGGTTGGCATGTGCGCGTGCAGTGGCCCGGATGTAATGTCAGGCGCTTCATGATGAGATCGACTCTGAACCGACGATACGACAGAGTGTACAGCCCCAGTCTCCTGCATCGGTATTCGTACAACACTTTTAAATCGGGGATGAGTCCGGTAGCTACATGCTGAACACGTTCCAGTTTTTGCACCTCGCCACGGGTGATTGGACAATAGGCGGGTGGTCCGTAGTCTAGCATCGGTCTTATGATGGAAGAGAAGAGGCAAGTGGCAATTTCTTCAGACCAAATGGAGAGGCTGCGTTTGAGCACCTAAAGCATGCGCAGTCTGTTTGTATTATCTACGAACTGTAAGTCGCAGCGTGGGAGTACGCTGAGATGCTTCAGTGAAGGTGTGGGATGTAGCGGTTGGTCGACCAGACTGTGCATACTCTGGCATTGCTATTATGATGGAAGAGAAGAGAGGAGTGACAATCTCTTCGGACCAAATGCAGAGGCTACGTTTGACAAGGTATAACAAACATGCCTAAAAAGTCTACGAGAGACTATTTTATTTCTCTAGTACCCACGACGGAGCAAGGCGGCGTCAAGAAGAGTGGCTGAAATACAGCTCCGGCATATATTGAAAATACTCGTCTCGGTATACAGTTTCCCGGACCCTGTGTCATCAGTCTTCATCCGGCGGACTTACACTAGGAAAAATATGTCACACAAAACGTAGATCGGACGAAGCCAGTACGCTTAGAAAAAAAGATTGGGAAGGATTATGTGTATAGTTGTTTGTACAGTGCAAATACTCACTCGGGCGATTATCTGTCGAGAAATCATGGACATTATGACCAACTTGTTCCTAAAAGTAAGAGATTGGTAGACGAGAGCAATGGTGGTGATAAGCAAGGCAGGGGAATAAGAAAAACAAAAACATTCAGTGCCATGTTCGAAGATGGGAAACGAGAAATAAAGAACGAAAGTCGCTATAACTTAGAACGCTGGCCGCGTGGTTGATTTTGTGATATTCCGCAGTCACCAAAGAGACGCTAGGTGTCTGGAGGAGATTCGATTTGAGCTTAATTTATCTTCTACACGACAACCACCCATTCGTCGTGTAGCTGAATGTCAGATGATAAAGAGGGAACATTTATAGTTAGTTAGTTAGTTGCGGCCACCTCCCAGTAATGCACCCTTCTGTACATCCTGAAGGATACAGATAGCCATTTCGTTCTACTGGGGCTCATCATTAGTGCGCACCCCTGCCTGCACCAGGCACCGAGTTCCATCACTTTTTGGCGCCAGTGGATTCTGAGACTAAGAGACCGCACTGGTTAACAGTGGAAGCACGTCATGATCGATACCCAACGAAAATGATTTATTATAGGGGAAATTAAGGTAAACGATCGCATCACCCGAATTTCATGCGAGATTCACTAAAACGAGCGCTTCGATGTGTGCACGCGTGGCTGTGTGTACACATGTGAGACCGAAAAGTAACTAGCTAGCAACATGAAAAATAAGTTCGAATACCTCACATACAATCGCGGTCCTTGTGAGAGTTGGCACTTGCGGAAAAACAGTATAGGACGCAGTGAATCACCTAACATTAAGGCGGCTTCGCATGCAAATGCTAGTTAGTCGATTATGACGCAAGTATCAGACCGAAGTGCACGAAGTAAGGAGGGATAAAACATACTCAAAGGTTGAGTGACATCGAGCACAGTGGAACGCTTACCCACTTCTGCCACCGATTCGAGGGACTTGATGAGCATTTGTCGCGATTTTCTGGCGTTTTGAGGCATCCGACTGCTGTTGCTGTTGCTGCGAAGTTCCAGTGCCCGGGGCGAGTGTTGAGTCTGGGGGTGGTTGATATGGCAATCTCCACTGAAGACGACGACCATTTTTGATGCAGTTTTCAACAGAGAATGGGTTGGAAGCTAGCCACGATCTAATCCAAGATTGTAAGCCGCGCAAGTGATAAGTGTGTGAAGTCTGTGGGACAAAAATGCACACGAACACAAGAGAGTAGACAAAGAAGGCAAATTCACTAGGTAGCAGAGCCGATAACTAACGGTGCAGTTTATACCCACCCAATCGGCAACTACCGCTTAAAGTGTGAGTTCGAAATCGGCCTTAGTAGATCACGTGCCGTCTAATGTGCTGCATGTGTAGTCAGCTTTCCCAGTCGCAACACAGCCACTGACAATTGGGCACAAAAGACACTAGGGGGGGACCGAAAATTGCAATAAAATTCGTATGTTGCGTGTATAGTGGTGGGCACTGCTATTGTTTCATCCTCCTGGATCGCAATAAAAAGTAATATGAGTGGGCTCAGACGGGAACGTGACCTAGCCCACATTGTACCGGCGTTTAACCGAAATTCTCATCATAACAAATGAAGTCCGCAAACTGATCTCCGGCAGTTCTAGTTGGCATCAGTAAACCAGTGCCCCGCACCGATGCTTGGCTGCTATGCAAAGGCAAGCGGTTACACGAAAATACTGGAAGCTGAGTAGGAGCGGGGAGTCGAATCCAAGGCGGATGTTTGATCAATTACACCAGGGATCCCCAACAGCTGTTATTAATACGTCAGTATTTCATGTTGATGGTTCGTTGCTATGAAGCTGTAAGCGGGCCGGGATATTGCACCGAAGCCTGAGCCTATGCGGCAGCGCGGATTCGAACCCGGGGAGCAGAGGTGGTAAACTGCATGGATGAACCACTGCTTCACCGGTCCGCGAGTATGCCAAACAATTCGATGAACATATCATGAATATAGTCAAATTGGACGAAGATATGAGAAACGATTGGGCATTTCAGAGTGGCAATGGAATTGGTTGTGTGAAGAGTTCCCACATTCATGTGGCAGAGCTATACGCTATGGGGTGCGTCCCCAGGTTGAGGATTGGGGAATACCTTTCGTTTGGAAGTAACTGTGAGTAAGTCTCATTTGCTTTGCATGTGAGGTGAATAAGCATTCGCGGACAATCAGCGGCGGTGTCTCAGAGCGTGGAGAGTTCCGGGCTGTTCACTTGGTTCTCCATCAAATACCACATGAGCTCGTACGGCGCTATGTCCGGTGACCGGTTATAGGGTCACTGACCACTCATTTCTGGTCACATAAGTGAGTAACTAACGGAGGGAGAATGAACATTCTTGCTGGCCATCGGCTTCTCTGTGGACTGTTTCCGGACACAAAGAGGGCAAATGAACCACTCGGCTGTCAACGGTCTTCGTGAATCGTCCCGCTGCCTTGCAGATCAGGTCTTTATGACAAAGAAAAGAAAATTTGTACTACGATTTTTGGGAAACGTGTGACCCACGTCGATAGTGCGCTTCACGTATGCAACATGGAGCAAAGCTCATGGTATGGGTTGGGTTAACTAGTCAAAAAATAGTGGGACCATTTTTCTTTTCCAGTAGTGTGACCAGTAGGTTGTTTTCGCAGTACTAATGCCTTACGTTACTTAGCATCTTCGTACAAGGAATTGTTGCAGAATTGTGTCATTCCGCAACTGGAAGTCGCAGGGTTATTGTGTATCGTCTGGTGGCAACAATATGGCGCACCTGCACACTATGCACAAACGGTTCGTGATTATCAAAGCGGGACATTCCCTTGTCGATGGATCAGTCGGGGAGGACCAGTGAAGTGGCCTGTTCGGTCAATAGACTTGAATCCGTTGGATTTCTTCCTATGGGGTTACTTGAAACGACGAGTTTACAAAACTAATCCCAATTCCGTGGATGAACTGAAACGGAGCATTTTGAACGAATGTCGCGGGATCACAGTGGATAGCTTGGAAAAAGTGCTAGCTAACACCATCAGGCGAATGTTGCACTTTATACGAGACGCCGGCGGACATACACTTCATTGACATTTATGACCATTAAACTGAATTTCTGTAAACATATGTATCAATCACTGATTTAACGACTAAATTGGTGCGCTGGCAACTAGTGTGAAGAGGCGGACTGAAAGCGTTGCCCATATAGAATAAGACGGTATGATGAGAAATCGCCATGCGACCACTGCACATTTATTGCATAGATACAGGTTGGTCTGTCCAAAATTGGGATGTCCAAAGTCCGGCCCGCAGCCTCATCATGAATAAGCAATTCAGGCTTGCATACTTTTCATACATGTGAATTTTGTTATTATTTTATTATTAAACTGAATATGGCCTGACAAATTTTTACCTCACAAAATGTGGCCCTTCTTGCAAAATGTTTGGACACCCCTTGTCTATGTTAATGGGAGCAGTGTACCCAGCAGGCATTGCTAATTCAGCCTAGCGTGTGCGTTTTCTTGCCTACCCGTAGCGAGCAATGGGCTGAGTACGCGCCGTCAATCCAATGGCGTGTAAACTAGGCCAACCGCGTATGCACGCGGTGCTAATTCCGCCACAGCTCATGCGCTGTGCAAAACGAACTGACACAATGGCTCAGTACGGGACCATCGTACCCATCAGCAGGATGCTGGAACGATTGCACGACAAGGAAACCGCTGGCGAGCCAATACTGTCGATCGCTTCAACTGGTATTTTGATTGTCTGTCCGCACTCGTAGCCGAGTAAGCTCCTCGTGCACTTTGCTTCATGTGGTCGACTGCGTCTAAATCCTACGCTGGCCGTCAGGCAGTGCAGTTCGGGGTCCAGTCTACACTTCACATGCGGTCACACCAAAGAGAAGAGTGACAAGTGTGGCGCGAGCGCACGTGCAGTCGTATAGACGCGTGCGTCAAAAACGCAAAGTGTCAATTGGACGGTTTGAGCTTAGAGAGAACGCATTGGGTTTCCTCCAGACGCGCATTGGTGCGGCATAGAAAGTGCTGCTAGAGGTGTTTTATCGAAATAATAGTATTTGTCGATCCCATGTGATTACCTATGCGATGCTTCGTGATTTCATTGCAATTCGCACTATAATTATCGAGATGTTACTCGGGATTACCTTATCTGACACCTGCGCCTACCGATTATTGTGTCATTGTCTGTTTTCCCATCCACACCCACATGGTTCCATAGAACCCCGCTATTAGAAATGATCGCTCCACCAATGTGTAACTTGTTCAGGTGTCACCATATGTCCACGCGGTCGATCTCCCAACCACAGAGGCACATCCGCTTTTGTTATTCTTTTTATCCCACATCTGCCGAAGATACATTTGCCGCCACCGCCCTCTATGGGTTGCACAGCGAACCAATGGAGTAGGGTTACTGGACCCAGCAGTTGAGCGTTGGCAATTACGGTGATTCGCATTCTTTCCGTACCCTGTCAAGATTCGGGTGTTTCAGAGGTGAGCGGGAATGTCTATATTGCACTTTAGTTTCCATTAGAATAGTACCGTAGTTAAATTTTCGGCCTTGTTTTGATTTGGGACAGGATTATTATGCGTTGCTCCAGATGTAAGCGATTTGGTTGCTTACATCTAAAAAGTTTTGAGGATAAGTGAAAGCTGGACAGGTTACACAGTGTGGGGCCGATGATTTCTAATAGCTGGGTTGCTATGGAACCATGTGGGTATGGATAGGAAAACAGCGAATGACACCATAGTCAGTAGGCGCAGGTGTCAGATAAGGTTATCCAGAGTAAAATCTCGATACTTATAGTGCGAATTGCAATAAAAGCATGGAGCATCACATAGCTAAGCATGTGGAGTAGAAAAACAGTTGGCACCTGGAGTCGCAAGAGATGGCGCAGGTGGTGTGCTTATTTGGCGTGTGATTCTGGGATCCAAATTGCCGATTGCACGGTAAATTAACCGCTAACATGCCTGACATCATAGCTTTACTTTTGGGTAATTTACATAGGTAGACTGAGTAAATAAATAAGCAAATAAATAGATAAATAAACCTCACCTTAATGTAGCCTGTTGACGGTTGTATAGACGGAGCGCGGACTAATTCGGAGAATGAACTCAGTGATCTGCGAGAGTAATAGTGGAGAGAATGGCCTCCACGAGAAAACCTACCTGCCTTGATCTATCGTTCCTTCAAGGATGAGATTGAGAGCATCGATAGCCTCCTCGGAGAGTGAAGCATCCAATCCCGATTGGCTGTATCCTTCTGTGCGAGTTTCGAATGCAATAAATACGCAACAATACAATACAAATGTTTTGATCAATATGGCTAAAGTTGAGTGCATTCGTGACTCAAAGACTAGAAAACGTCGTGCGAACATCAACTCGAAGCAACTGCCTAAACATGTTGCACTCTTAGTAAGATTGGAGCCGATCCACAGGGAAGGGTTGAAAATAATCAAAGAATAAAACAATCAGATAGTTAACGCGTAACCTGCCACCATAAAAGACGACAAAAGGAACCGACCTTGCTGATGATGGGTTACACGAACAACAATTCCAAGTATGAAAAAGCCATGAGGATATTGTCGCAGAGAACGTGGGAAGAAATGACAAGGCAACATTTATTGGACATGAAGTACCGAGAATTGGTTTGCTATCGTGTCGGTGTAAGTGACGAACGAAATGTCCCGTTCGGCTTGCATTTCCGGCCGGTGGCCGAAAGGATTTACGAGTCTAGCTTGTAATCCGACGATCACCGGTTCGAATACGCGCACGTGCGGGCGACCCAGGCAGTACCCTTAGTCCACGCACGACTGGTGGTGGCCCCGTGGCAGCGAAACGTCGGTACGGTGTGCCCGCATACTGCTGATGCATTTCTGGATAAGGCCCAGATAACCCGATGGGTTGTCTTTATGATGCGATCCGAAAGAACCACTAAAAGATCATTAATGAGCAGGAAGTCTTTAGATGCAATTTCACCGCCCTGTTCCAGCAGCTCACAAGCCAAATAGTCTAACGCTTAATCCGGTAAAGCACCAGGAGATTGTTTCGCCCTGTTGAGGCTCGTCGGCGGCATGCATTCCCTCGGTCCCCTCAGGGAACTGAACATATAACCATTAGCAGCTTGCGCCAATTTGCAAGCATCTCATGCCATTAAGCCATGGGGTACGGTAGCAAAATATAATAACTTGCAAGCTAACTGGGATATAGCGCAACCTATCCTCCATTGCCATGCGTGCGAGTACCACTGCAGAGGACAATGCCCAGCCTCCAGAGGTTTTGACTTCCACTACAGTAGTCATACACGCATAGCATTTGAAGACTGTGGTGGCGAAGTTTTGATTACTAATTTATATATATATATATATATATGAATAATAAGAAAAGAGCAACAAGAAATGCTTTTTTTGTCAAGTTTACCACTCACAGTTTTTGAAATTTTTTTTCAGTTTGTTCGTTTTTAGGGGGAGGAGGAAGGGACACCGCAACACACTGATGCACACGTCCGCCATTGACATCGATCTTGAGCCATAACTTCCAAGGTTTTCAACCAGCAAGTATCCTCGTCTCTCGGACCCCAACCAGGTAGTCGACAACAACCGGCCGAGGCCAATTGTTTCGTCAACTTTTTCATGCGGCTTCTCCATGTTGTAGGCTGTCCACCAGACCGTCTCTTCCAGCCCTGTCCAGCAAGTGCAAACAACGCACGACGGGGGTAACGCTGGACAGGCATGCGCAATACGTGTCCCAACCACCGCAGTTGATGCAGTGAGATGAGCTCCTCGAGCGAGTGGCTTCCACGTCCCAAGACACGCTGTCTAACTTCCACATTGCTTACGTGGTGCTGCCACCACACACGGGCAATGGACCGCAGACAGCGGTGCTCGAAGACGGATAGCCTGCGCAAGTCATCTTTACGAATGGGCCAGGTCTCGCATCCGTACAACAGTACAGCACGAACAGTTGCACAATAGACCCGCCCTTTGATGGAGAGACGAATGTCGTGGCGACGCCACAAATGCCTCAGCCTAGAAAAAGCGAGGCGTGCTTTCGAGATGCGCATCGAAATCTCGTCTCCAACAGCCCCGCCAGCAGTGATGCAACTTCCCAAGTAGACAAAGCTCTCCACAACCTCCAGTGTCTCACCAGCAAGCGTGAGTGCAGGCAGAGGCACCTGCCAGTCTTGAAGGAGAGCCTTGCATTTGGATGGCGAAAAGCACATACCATACTTTGATGCTTCAATCGTCAAGCGGTTTAATGCAAGTTGGACGACCTGTGGATCGTCACCTAGCAAGACGATATCATCAGCATAATCCAAATCAACAACTCGACTACCTGGGAGGAGCTCAACGCCAGCGTTCAACGAATCGCTCAGAGCGTTCTTCAGGACATCCTCAATGGCAAAGTTGAATAGGAACGGAGAGATAGGGCATCCTTGTCGAACTCCACTGGAGACCACAAAGGTAGGCGAAAGCATGCCATAAGCCCTAACCCTGCCCGAGGTCAGACTGTACAGAGCGCGCAGTATGGAGACGAACTTCTCGGGGACACCGTTCCTCAGAAGGCACTGCCACAGTACTGTACGATCGACAGAATCGAAGGCAGCACGGATATCCAGGAACACAGCAATCGTTGGCCTCTGATACACATGGCGGAGCTCGAGGATCTGGCGAAGTGTGAAGATTTGATCGATGCAGCCGCGACCAGGGCGAAACCCAGCTTGTTCTTCTCGCTGCAACGATTCGCGTGTTGGGGATAGCCTGCGAAGTATGATGGACACCAGCAGCTTGCAAACGACGGGGACTAAACTTATTCCTCTGTAGTTGGAGCAGATTGTGCGCAGGCCCTTTTTGAAGATGGGTACGACTATCGATTCACCCCAAGATGATGGAACCTTCTCTTTCGACCAAATTTTCGAGAACAAAACGGTGAGTTCTCGGACCAGCGATGCGCACCATCTTTAAATAGAGCTGGGTGAAGACCATCAGGGCCGGGAGCTTTATAACGCTTCAGGTGCCGGAGCTCCTGCTCGATTTCCTGGGAAGAGGGAGGGTCTGTTGGGGTAGACCACTCGGCCCCAGCGCGAGCGCCAGAGGTAGCAGATGGAGCTGGGGGCCAACAAAACTGCGAGCCAAAATGTTCGGCCCATCGCTCCAACCGCCGTCGAAGATTGGTGATTAAGGTGCCATCCTCTTCGCATATTGTTTCACTTATACCAGATCGAACACCTTCGGTGACTCGAAGGAGATGGAAGAGTTTCCTGGTATTACCACAGAGACTAGCAAGCTCCATCTCCCTAGCACGTTCACACCACCAAGCTTCGCGGTCCATTTGCAGACTCCTGCGCAACTCTCGACCAAGGTATTGGCGTTCTTCAACGTGTCTCGAATCCGATGGGATCAAGCGGCGTTTGTCCATCCGCGACAAGGAGTCGGCGAAAATCTAATGTTTCGGTGGGTGACGGGTAACTACACAAGTGTCGATACTGGCGGAAACTAACGCATCTTTGATATGCGCCCACTGCGAATCGAGATCACCGTCAATAGTTTAGCCAAGCAAGGTTGACAGTGAGGCTTGGTACATGGTTAAAACCGCAGCGTTTTGTAGATTTGCGACGTCCGGTCGGTAGTGGGCGCGCTTAGGTGATCCTCTGAAACGCATGCAAATCTTAGCACGAACCAATGCGTGATCAGAGTCCAGAAAAGTTGACCAGTACGATCGGCAGTCCATTACGCTTCCGCGCCATCTGTAGCTGATTGCTATGTGGTCAAGCTGGGAGCACTCTTGCGTTAGTGAGGGCGGGCGCCAGGTAGCAGTCTGTCTCCTCGAGTGTCGAAAACTAGTGCTCGAAAGAATCAAGCGATGATCAGAGCAAAGAGCAAGTAGTCTGTCTCCATTGTCTGATCCACTGCCACCGAGACTAAAACTACCCCCAATGTGGTGCTCGCTTGGTGGAAGGCGGCCAACCCGTGCGTTAAAGTCCCCGGCAAGAATGACTATATCCGTCCGTTTGGAGGAACGCAGAAGATCATGTAGTTGTTGGTAGAAGCTATCTTTAACTGCATCCGGGCTGCAGTCTGTAGGGGCGTAGGCGGAGACGACAAATAAGGCACGCTTAACATCTCGACGCCTGCTTACGTTACATGAACCTCTTAGTCTGACTGCACATAGTCGGCTGTTGACTGGGATCCAGTCGCCATTCTGATGACGGCGCTAGAGTCTTGCAATCTGGTCTCTGAAAGACAACAGATGTCTACCGACAGCGTTTCAAGAGTACGGGCCAGACATGCTTGTCGTCCGATCTGCATCAAAGTTCGAACATTAAACGCTGCGAGGATGATTTGTGATGACATTTTTACCGGATTGCCCAAAGATCGATGGATGAGTTAACCATGGGTAGCACTAACAATTGTCAAAAACGGACGGCGATGGAATGTTGAAAGGACATCAGAAATTCTGGAACCTCATTGGGAAATCAACGCTTGCTGCGACTTCCGGTTACCCCAATAAATGTGTCCGAACAACTCGTACTAAAAGCTAATCCGGTAATTTTACCCAGGTACATCGCAGGTACATGGATTCCATGAAGCGATCCGATGTTCTGTGAAGTATCCAACCAGTGCAATATGTCCTATGTATTAGCTAAACCGAACAATGTCTCCATCAGGAAAAGAAAGCATTCATAGTCCAAGGAGAGGCACTTCAAAGCCTAACAGGCCCATAAAAGGCAAGCAAGAGTCGAGAGCTGTTATGCTTCAGTCCGACGTTTCCCACACAAAAACCGCTATCATAAGGGGCTGAGTGGAACAATTCAATCTGGTTTTTAAAAGAATAGAACCGAGAATGATACTTTCCCCTAAGTCGACGTAGTCCAGTTTGCACTTTGTTAGAAAGTACCTTGAAATAACTCTGTCGATATAAATTGGATAATCACCTGCTGACATGCTTCTAATGGTTGCAGTTCAAGCGAATCGGCAGCTATAAAAGTCTTAATTCCCACGGGCAAGTGTAAATTCCGTTAGTTGTTAAGTGACTTGTGTAAAGGCAGACAAACAAAAAAGTGTTGATTAACTGATTTAGACGGTGATGCTAAGGCAGTAACAATGGATCACGCTGGAGTGTGCAGCGTCCCGAACATCACCGGTTTTTCCCTCGAACACTGACTGGTAGAGTGAACAGACTTTTGTGTGCAACCCACCTGACAACGTTAGCTAAGTCAAGCACACGCAGCAGTGCCAGACACTGATTGCTTATGGCTGGTAT